AATTTGTTCAGTAAGAGAAGAAAAAAGTTTTTAGTTTTTAACTTTTTAACTTATATTAATAAATAAATAAATTGTTTCATAACTATTTTTTACTTTTTGTTTGTAGTTTTTTTAATTAGTTTTTAACTTTTTTTCAAAAGCTATTTGAACTAACTTTTGAACTTCTATCTTTTAACTTGGGACTTTTTCTTCAATTTATACCTTTATTTTAACAAAAGAATTCTTACCTTCAATGTACTACTTCATATATATATATATATATATATATATATATATATATATATATATATATATATATATATATATATATATATATATATATATATATATATATATATATATATATATATATATATATATATATATATATATATATATATATATATATATATATATATATATATATATATATATATATATATATATATATAAACTAATTCTAAAATATAAAGTTTATAGAGATTTTGAAGAATGTTGTAGTAATTTTTTACTTTTTTTTTTATTTTATTAAACCCTTTTTTCATGTATTAAACATAAATTATATAATTGATTTGGAAATATTTTTGATAATTCTCAAGTTATTAAAACGTCAGGGGAGAATCATTGAAATTAATAAAGACGAAGAAAATTTAAAATATCATTGCAATTTTATTGTAAAATATTAGACAATAATCTTATTTTTATTATTATTTTAAATTAATGTAACTTAATACAAAATTCCAATGTTATTATTTATCGTATCTCGTTCAATTTCATTATAAAATCTGAAAAGTAACTATATGTTACGAAAGAATGTGTTAATGAAACCGAAGAATTGCAGTTGTTAGGATTACTTTTACTTTTATGTCCTTATAAATGATTTTATAGAATATCACTGCTTCATGTATAGTATGTTGGTTCTTTTATTTGTTGAATTTTGTTGGCAATATATTCATATTAAATAGTAAAGCTCATAAAATTTATATATAACTTTAATATATTTTGATACTATCTTCAATTTTTCATATGTATTAAAACTGTTTTACATGTTTTTATTAATACATTTATTTTTATCGAGTAAAAATTAATTTAATAATATTATATAATAAGATAATGAAACCATAAATTTCTTAATTAAGAATGTCATTTCAGGTCATTTTGTAATTATCAGTTAGTGTAACAACTAATTTACCAAATACTCAAATTAATTTATCAATTCTCAGCCATCAGTTATCAACTATCAGCTACTAACTATCAGTTATCAGCTATTTTTACCAAACAAAACTTAGGAGAAAAGAAATGTTTTAGATTTTAATTAAAAATATATATGTTTTAGGGTTTTTCTGAACCGGATCGCAGATCTGACCTACAAATCAAATTCATAGGACTTTAAACAGAAACGATTATCTTAACGTTTTTAAGTGATACCATTGTGAGTTCAACCACGTCTATCAAAAATCGATTATGGTCATTCTTTGACACGTAAAATCGTACGATCCAAGAGTAGGATTGCGATTTTATCTCCCATAATTTTATAAATATATTAAAAAAATCTATTGCATGAGAAAATTACACGTATTGAATGGCACGTGATGTCCACTTAGAGTTTTAATATTTTGTGAAACTTTAGAGTTTCTTTTTTCTGTATTATGTTTGGGAATGATGCACATTGCAGAGCACAAAATCTGTTAATCCCACTTGGTTTTGTTTCCTGTACGATACGGTGTGAGCTTGTTATTGGACCAAATAATCCCACCCAATATTCAACGCTTTAATGCGTCCAATCATTTTATGTTTTTCAATTTGTTAGGTACATAAACACTACCTATTTTCATTTCATTTTTCTAAAACAATTTTAGCTTTCCTATTCCGCAACAACCATATTACTTTCTCTTTTGCTATAAATAGAAATTATCTAGATAAGCAAAGATCGGTGTTGAATGAATAAAAAACAAAGAAATAAAACAAGAATTAAAGTGAGAAAACAAAAGTGCATTTAGTGAGAATGCAGTGTTTCTGAAAATGAAGACATGGGATAACTATCAGCTTTTTTGACGAGTGGAATGCTACTATCTCTCTCTATAGGACACCTAGCTTGCTTCACTTTTAGTTTCTTTTTTTTGGAAAAGAAGAACCCTTTAAAGTGCACCAAAACCTTTCATTTCTTTGTTGCATGTTACTGTATTAAGATTTGGTATTATGCTTGAAAGGAATAAAATTGAGCTAGGTTGAAACATGGCAGGTCATAGAACGCAAACCATGGTTTCAAATAGATTTAAAAGGGTGGATTCGTTTCATTTAAATAGATTTGTGGATATTCAAATTAACTGGAATAAATATTATATTTTTATTTTTGCAAAGCCTTGGTGTCGCAGGATATTAAATTTTTTATTTTTGTATAATCTCTCATTCAAATCTTTAATATTACATTTCCTTCCATTTTTGTTAAATTTAAATTAATAGATAGATTTTAAAATTTTCAAAATGTGATTTAGATTTATTTATTAAATAATCAATTTAAATTGTAACTATAAAGAAATCATATTTTTTCTAATAAAATTTATATGAATATTATAATATCACTTTTAAATGTCCAATTTAAATGTTTGATATGTTTTCACATTTAAATCTTATTAATAAATTAGATTTTGTTAAGATCAAATAATATTATTTAGCCTAAAAATAGATCAGTCTAATAATCCAAATAACCGACTGTAATAATTCAAATAAACCAACCGAAATAACATTGAAGGTAAAAATAAATTTTTGTTAAGTGACATATAACTCAATTCGTCAAAATTGATTTGAAATAATAAGCTGTGAGTTGTACATATATAATTCATTTGGTAATAATTCAAATTCGCATGTAACTATATCCGTCAAAATTGATTTTAAAAATAACTGCGGTTTGGAATGGATGGTACTTTTGGGTCTGAATCCACCAAATCCATTGAATCCACCAAATCTGACTCATTGACAAGTTCATTTAATAAAAATGTTACACTTTAATTTTTTTTAATTCTATTTAATTAAATAGATCAAATTTTGACTATTTAAAATATCTATCAAATCTTATAAATCAAAATAGGTTAAATAATATATATAAATTCTTGTAGTCTATATAAAAAAAATAGGTTAAATAATATATATAAATTCTTATAGTCTATATAAAAAAATATGTGAAATTGACTATTAGAAAATCTTAATGTAAAATGAAATTCACTTTCAAATCATGTCAAGCTTTAAAAAAAATTAGGTCTGATAAAAAAAACTTATAATAAATCATAGAACAGACTCGTATCCTTCACTCACACAAAAATATTAAAATACAAATTATTTTATATTTAACTAATTTTAAATCAAATCAATTTTTTTCAAATTAATTGTTATCTCTACATAAAAAACACATAAAACTGCTTTATAGAGAAGAAATTTCATGCCCAAGAAGGAAAATAATTCATGGGCCAATATCGTTCTCTAATCGATTAGTTTGTGATGCCGATTGTACCATCGAAGACCGGAAACTTTTACCAAAAATATCTAAACTTGCCAATAATATATATCAAAAATCTGAGTCAACAACTTTCACTTCCATCATCATAACAAATTGCTTCAAAACTTAAGAAATATTATTAGGATATTTTAGTAAAGTCAAATCCAGTTAAAGTTGAACATAATCTTACCAAATTATGTTTTCTAAAACCACTAATATATTTGAGGTTAAATTACACCATTAATCTTATATTATCATGACTTTTTAAATAGATTAGTACTGATTGAATAGCTTCTATAGTTAAAACCTTATGTTTCTGAATTTTTTTCTTTTGACCAAATGTTGAAATTTTGAATGAATCATTTATCAGTTAATTACTCAAAGTTGTATTAACTTTATCAAATCAAAAGAACTTATCTGGATGTTTGGAAGACATCACAATTGAAGAGATTGTTCTGTTAGCACTTATTTTGAGTTTAACCAAAGTTCACTATACTAAATATATACATATGTTCAATTCTCTATATATAATAATAATTAGATTAGTCTCGGGAGATTTTTAAGAAAAAAAAATCTTTTAACAAGTAAAAAAATCATCTACTTTCATATCAGACATCACCCTCTATTATAAAAATAATGACATGACAAACAAATATCCTTTTGACACTTATTGTATGCGACAGAAACTCGCATCTGATCCAACAAATCATTTTTCATTAAGTGAGAGGAAATTAATCTCATTTATTATTTGCTCGACTTCATACTTATGGTGACATTTATAAGCATACATTAATTCTTTCATACTTTAAAAGAATTAATGTATGCTTTTAGTTCATTTGAATGTATATTCTGGTTGTTTGTTATGGCTTTTGTTCATGTTAATTGATTGCATGAATTTAATTTAATTTTTTTCTTAGTCATCCTTCTAAGTGACAGTTGAGGTAATTAAAGGTGTGCAAAAGATATGGGGCGATCAATGGGGAAGGGATGAAAAGCTGTGAGTTTGAACTTTAATCTTCCGATTTAAGTGATGAAAAAGAAAGAGATTTCAAGATTTAGAAGATGTAGGCTTCTCAGTCTCTTTTTTCGGGGTTTCAAGATTTTGGGATTAAGTTTTCCCAACAAATCAAGTTCAAACTTTCTTTAAAAATAGTTAACAAATGCATTTCACATAATTATATTTTCTATTGCATTTTCTTCTCTTTCTACCTTTATGTTTGTTATTCTTCTTTCTAAATGGCATAGTTGTCTTCCATTCTTGGATCTATCGAGGGATCATTACTGTTAACAAATCAATCCACCTTAAATCCCAAATGACAAAACTGAGTGAACTTATGGCTTATTGTGCCGACATACATTCCAAAACTTATTAAAATGTGGTAATCGTCATCCACCTTTACAAACAAAGAGAATAAAAGACAACAATGCAAAGAATACAACTTTTCATTAACTACAAAAACAAAAATATACAACATTAAATACATAATAGGCAAACAAACTAAAAGAATAAGGTGCTAGTTTATATTCATCAATATCTTTGCCGTGAGAAAGTTGAGGATCCAGTATTATATGTACCTCGGGAGGATCTGCTAGGAGAATCCATTGAGTTCCTGTAGGGAGAGTATGCAAATTTGGCCGCGTCTGGCACAGAGTCCAAAGGAATAGATTCTGCAAAGCATGCCGTATTAATGCGCGTCCGCTCAAGTTCTGATTGAATGAACTCTGAGCTGTACTGCTGTGCAAGAGACTGAGATGCACAATATACAGGTTTAGACAGTATAATTAGAAGCAGAATTCAACATATAAACATCACCCCCAGTTTCGTAATACATGTCTCAACAGTTGCATCGCCCCCAGCACAAATCAAGGGAACAATATAATTACTCATTTAATAAACATTCTCAAAATTCAGACAGATTAAATGAATACTATTATTAAATCAGTTGCTTACAATGAGCTCGTCTGGTGATACAGTTGTTCCTTGTTTATCGTCTGCAGCTGCATCTTCACTACCACGAGTTGCCCGACGGTTATGTCCTGGATTGTCAACAACGTCAGTCGCACTCTCCGTAGCTTTTTCTAAAAGAAGTCCTTGTAAAGACTTCAAGGAGTCTCTTGCGTCAGATGTGAAATATGGGTTTAAAACCGTCTCGAAGTACTCAAGCTGCAGGAATACATATCAGTTAATCAAGAAAACAGCTTGAAATGAAGTTACTAGTCATCGCATCAAAAGAAATGCTGCAGGTAAAGGCCGTGAAATATAAATGATATAAGCACCTCATGTTATAGCAAATCTATTGAAAATAGTGTCATGAAGAGGACAGATGCTGTCATTCCTAACTAACTAGATGTATCTCGAACAACCCTAACTGGAAAGATCAGTGAGAAATAGGAGAGCTTGTCTAGTAAAAATACAAATGTATCCTTAAACTTTAAAAAAAAAAAAGTGATTTCAAGGTTGTGTAAGAAATAATATAATTATAATATTTAGAGATATTGTGTAACTCAGACATTTGGTTACAATTGTAAAAAGTAATTTTTTTTACTTAAATAGTTCTATTAATTTTCTTTACGGTCAAAGCAACATATAAAAAAATTAGAGATTTGATTACTTTGCAGAAGCTTTAAGATTCTAAAATCAAAGGTTGTGTAACTGAGACATTTGGTTACAATTGTAAAAAGTAATTTTGTTTACTTAAATAGTTCTATTAATTTTCTTTACAGAACTTATTCAAAGCAACATATCAAAAAATTAGAGATTTGATTATTTTGCAGAAGCTTTAAGATTCTAAAATCTAAGGGGGCTGTGGGTTAAGGCATGCCAGGAACTTCAGTGAGGGCTTCATATAGTATATCTAGTATCGTGTAAGTCTTAATATGCCACAGTAATAAAACATACCTCAAGCATGAGTTGACAGAATCCATTTGTATCAAGTAACCTAAGATCGGTGCTTTCATTTTCGTGAAAAATGCTGATGAACGTGTCAATCAAGCCTTCCACAAGAATGCCAAGTGTTTTATCCAAGAGAGGTTTAGCACCAGCAAAAACCTATGACAAAAACAGTTCACTCAGCAGTCTACTATTGAGCAAATATAGTGGAAAAAATTATTTTCTTAACTAGTGCAGATCAGATATTGTTCAAACTTTTTTAAGAAACTAAGTTTAGCAAGGAATAGGATCTTCTGGTGACTAAAATACTCAAGCAAGCTCCACACAAAAGGTAAAGGTAAAGCTAATCTGAATACAGTATTCCTTCTTCAAAATCCATTTGACATATGCCAAGGTCAAATCCTTCATCAGGACAGCAGTCCTGATGTGTATGTAGATTCAGTAATTTACTTCAAACTAGGAGCATGTTTTTCTACACTGAGAACCATCTAGGTATAACTGGAAGAAAGTTTTGGGTAAATCAAGTAAAACTCAGGCAGATGATCAAAGTTGGAGTAATTCTTTTTTTAGCATTTTCACATGTCTTGTCCAGATAAAGTAAGAAGTATAATAAGGCTGCGTTATCTGATAACAGTCTTTTGGTGTCCTTGGTTGGAAAAGAAAGTTCAACCTTAAACGAAAACATCCAATCCTAAGGTTTGCTTTTGCTACACCAGTACCTTCATGGCTTTGTGGATGCACATGATGTATGGCTTAAAAAATCTCTTGGCAGATATATATAGATCCGTTGCTAGATTTTTCACATTTCTAAGGATGATATCATATCATCAAGATTCAAGACTAATACTTTATATATCTTCTTCCTTCAAATAAAACTTATCTTTTGCATCTTAAAAAAGTGTAAAGTTTGAATCCCTTATATCACATGCAATAATTACCTCTGCATGCACAGCTACCAATGTGTGAAGCAACTCTACTGCTGCATCGCGGACACCCTGAAAGAAACCAGGATAAAATGGAATTTCATATTAAAACATAATTTCCCAAAATCAAATGAAAATAATTTTGGACGGAAACAAAAACAGATAATAAGAGCAGTCAAATTTACAATAAAAACTATTGTAGCTAGGGTCCTCACTTTTACTGAAGGTGCTGCACCCCATTGAATGCCAGAATTCAACAGATAACTCGTAGCAGCAGATCTGATCAAGGTAGCCTGATGGGAACACAAGTGTCAGTCTATTGAATAGTGAAAGCAAGAATGAAAAGTGCAGCTTTTTTGAACAAGAAATGGTATACTTGTTACTAATTTACAATCATTGTCCTTCCTGCTTCAGAATAAACAGTGTTTTATTCTAGACAACTATTAGTCTGATTTCGAATGTTTTTTTAAGACTACTGGGAAGAACCTAAATCCCACATATAATAGAGATGAGATCTAAAATAAGTTTATAAAGAGTGACACCTCTAATCTTACAAGCCGATTTGGTAAGGATGAATTAGACTCTATATGAAAATTTTAATATGTATTAAAACCTATTGATTGGATCACCTACCGTTAAATCCACACACCAAGTCCAATAGTATTTGGAATAAGGGTGTATTGAAAAAAACTCGAGTCTCACATAGAAGAAAGACAAGGTCTGAAATGAGTTTAAAAATAGTGAACCGATTTTGTAAGGCCGAGTTATGTCCAATATAAAAAACTAAATAAAGACTTATAGCTGACCATCTGGTATTAGCTAACTTGATATTTATAACTGCATAAATTTAGCAGAATACAAGCTAGTAGACTTGGAGGAAGAGAAACGTGTGACTACTATCCATCACCACACAAAACCTTACAATTATTTTATGCACAATAATGCAACACCTTGATAATTAATAAGCAAAAGGCAATGCCTTTTATTCCAACTGATGCTTACCGGTCATGAGAGTTGTTAAACAATACAATTCCAAAAAGTTTCTTTTGGAAAAATCAATGATTACAAATTTACAATGGTATTGACAAACAAAAAAGTTAATAAGAATCTCCTATAATTCTAATATCCTCTATATCATCTACTTCCTTCCCAGTTTAAATTTAGAGGATGGGAGCAGCATTTTTCTAATTACCTTTGCAAAAGTATAATGTTCAAGGACCTTCTCTTCAAGCCCTGAGAAACAAATTACAAGATCTTGTACATCACTGTTGACTTCATCCTTCCCCCTGAATTAAAGGAAATCAAGAATCAGAATGTACTAGTAAATGCAAAGTATGCTGAAGTATTTTAATAAAACATGTATAGTGTGATGGATATGTTTTATTAAAATATTTTAGCCTACTTAGTCGGTTAAAATATTTTGATTTTGTAAGTCACATAAGCAACGATAGAAGAGGATAAATTTTATCAGTTAAAAAATTACTGCAGTTGAGTTTTGGGTTGCTCAAGAGAAACCCTCTCAAGAGTCAATTTTATAGAGTGACACCATTCCCAAATATACAAAAGACTCGACACAAACCCTTATTTATGTCAACAAGGAAGCTAATCATGATAATTATTAGACCCCTACTAATCCTAATTCGATGAAGCAAGAATTATAAAATATAAAGAAGTATGAAAACCAAGACGTCCCATAACATTCAGGACTGAACATTTGAAAAAAAGACTAATGCAAATGGGGTAACAAAGATCCAAACAAACGGCTGCAGACTCAGGCTCGGACATTTAGAATGTTGACAAATGCAGGAGGAATAACAGAAATATTGGCCCTATAATAGATCTAGAATAGACACTAATGCCAATTGGAATTTAGAATGATCTGAAATTGGTTCTAGATGACTTGAGAAACAATTGGTTCTAGATTACTTGAGCAAAGTATGCTGAAGTATTTTAATAAAACATGTATAGTGTGATGGATATGTTTTATTAAAATATTTTAGCCTACTTAGTCGGTTTAAAATATTTTGATTTTGTAAGTCACATAAGCAACGATAGAAGAGGATAAATTTTATCAGTTAAAAAATTACTGCAGTTGAGTTTTGGGTTGCTCAAGAGAAACCCTCTCAAGAGTCAATTTTATAGAGTGACACCATTCCCAAATATACAAAAGACTCGACACAAACCCTTATTTATGTCAACAAGGAAGCTAATCATGATAATTATTAGACCCCTACTAATCCTAATTCGATGAAGCAAGAATTATAAAATATAAAGAAGTATGAAAACCAAGACGTCCCATAACATTCAGGACTGAACATTTGAAAAAAAGACTAATGCAAATGGGGTAACAAAGATCCAAACAAACGGCTGCAGACTCAGGCTCGGACATTTAGAATGTTGACAAATGCAGGAGGAATAACAGAAATATTGGCCCTATAATAGATCTAGAATAGACACTAATGCCAATTGGAATTTAGAATGATCTGAAATTGGTTCTAGATGACTTGAGAAACAATTGGTTCTAGATTACTTGAGAAACTATGTCTAGGTGTGTTTATAATAAACTTTGTACAACCAAATCCTTTGGTGACAAGTGTTGTAAGTTCCAAAATGTATAATGATAATGACTTAAATAGTGGGTTATGAGTGGTGGGCAACTCTCATGCCATGAGAGCTAACTTTTGAGATTGAGCCCATACTCAAATTCTAATACAATATTGCAGCTTGTCCTAGATCCATTGAGCCACCCTTATAAAGCGACCTAGTTACGTTACGGTTACATATGTTGAGCCCTGACGGTGGGGTGTTGAGATTCTGAATGTCCCACATTAAATAGTGATATGGCCTAAAATAGTGGTTATAAGTGGGAGGCAACCTCACTCCATTAAATAGACTTATGAGTTGAGCTAGGCCCAAACCCAAATTCTAAGATGGTAACGGAGTCTATCTTAAATATGATGAACCACCCATTGTCAAGCCACCGAATCACATTCCATATCGCAGGTCCTGGTCGTAAGGGATGTTTATTGAGAGTCTCACATTTGATAGGTATATGGTATGAAAAGTGCTTATAAGCGGAGGGCAACCCCCCACCCCCATGAGCTAGCTTTAGAGGTTGAGTTAGACCAAATTCTAAGAATAGAGATAAAATTGGATTGGAATAAGCTTGTATCAATCATTCAATCCTATTAATGAAATAAAACATTTTAAATATGCCAAGACAGAAATACCCTTAAAAAGGAAAACATAATGTACCTGGAGTGCTGCCAGATATGTCTGTATTTGTCATACAACTCGTAAGAAAGTTCATCTTTGCAATATCCAATATTGCTTAGTACAATCAATAACTGTTGATGGGGATCAGAAACGCCCCCTCCAAAATCAGTTGCACTTTCTTCTACTTTATGTGTATATCCATTAGGTAAATGGGAGCCTTCTTCGTGTGAGCTATGTTGGCCTAGTTCAATTCCAATACGCTCTAAATTACCTGACAGTTGACCACAAAAGGCAATTTTGTCACTGAAAATTCAAGGGCTCGACACTATTTTGTTCTTTCACCATGTTGCTTTTGTTTCTTTATTTAGAAAAGTACGTAGAGTGAAAGATTGAGCTTAATTAATTCAACATACCAGCAAAATCCAGGAAACAGTTTAAAAATGCAAGTCTAACAGATTCTTGAATTTCTTGAAGTTGGATAAATGTATCCTCTGATTTTGTTGCCTCATTCCTTAAGGACCGAAGCATTCTGAAGGGATCATTTTAAAAATATTAACATCAATTGCTAAATATTATACATATCAAGACAAGAAAGATTAGGAGCCAATTCTGTCCTGGAGAACATTTAAAAGGTAACTGCTTCTGAAAAGACTACCAAACAAAACTTTCATTGACATGGTTAGGTATGTTAAAAGAAAATCAATAGATATACCATTATAAAAAAGTTCAGCAAATCCAGTAGTACTATTAAAAGGATTTGAAAAAAGAACATTAGAATAAATAAAATACTTTGCTGTAAATTGTTTCGCTAAATTTGAATTTTGAAATTTGCTAGATCCTTGAGGCACCATTTTATGTAGATAGCGACACCCATTGAGATAAGTTTGGGAGTTGTTGGACAAGCCACCCTACAACACACTCACTTTTGATGCATGCAATTGTTATGCCATAACATGGCATTGCATGTTTAAATGGAGGAAAAATGAAATTGATCATCCACTTCGTTATCCAATTGCCAGATTTTTACTGCATCTTATTTTTGTTTCATGTGTCTGCTGAATGATGCCCAACTCGGGGACATAGTATCATATCTTGGGCAATGGATGTGGCTATAGTTTCACAGCTAAAACACAGTTACTTAATGATTATTCCGAACAGGGTTCATAAAATATTCCTATAATTATTTTCTGAAGTTTGATCTTTACTCTTCTGCAGACAGCAGTTTGGCAAGAAATTCTTCAAAATATAACCTAAATCCTATCAGCAAAGTGTTTAGAGCCTCCACGAAAGCATTCTAATGTGTTACCTAAAAATAATTTCATTTCTGACATGAATGCTACCAGATATATAAAATCATTCTTGGGCAAGGTGGTCTTGGATATGATGCTAAAACCTCCATACCGAAGTATTTAGGAGTTTGATTCCTGACACCCAGATTCTTCATAATCTAGTCAACTTAAAGCAGAGTATAGTGAGCATGTGAGTATTATTCATGTTTCAAGCCTAAAATGTCATTATGTGAAACATCTTGTTTGAGAAATAAAGCATTATTGGCCTACATCCTAAAGAACCGGCTTTTAGAAAATATGATATTTTATAAATCTAAACAAATGAATCCTGAGGCTTCCTTCTCAAAAACATAAATATCCAAAATTTGAAGTCAGATGAGCTCAATGGCTTTTCGCATTCCCTTAACTATTCATCATCTCAATTTACTTTTTTCTCTTTCCATAATAAATAGTAAGGGTAATTTTGACAGCTATAATCAATACTACTTTGAACTTTGAAAACGACAACTAAAAAGTAACATGAAAATTAAAAAAATTAAAAAAAAAGTGACACTTAAAAAGAACAGAGGGAGTAATTAATGACCAGACATATGGAGCATTAACAAATTAAGAGGTGAAATGATGATAAGCCAGGTTTTGAATAGGAAAACATAGTTGATTTTCATAGAGCAAAAGGTATGTTGTTAATCCCAGGTAGCGTTGTGTAGCACCGACCCTTTAAAATGCTATAGCAGTATAGCGCTATTGCAAAGACTATAAAACATGCATAGAAAGTAAAAATAAATACTCAAAAATAGAAAAACACACAAATTAAACAGACCGTCATACTTAACAATAAAGAACCTAGTACGGAGCAATAAAACTTAAAACACAAGAACACAACATAACCAAGCTTAGGGAAGAACAAAATGATTGTTTGAAATAACGGACATAACAAAATGAAGGACAAAACATTACCCTTAGAAGAGTTTGAATTGACATTTTACCCTTAAAAATAAGATAATGGTTTAAGAAAAGGGATTTGAGCAACTTTGCCCCAATGACGGACACAATAGCAGTACGGGGCCAGAAGTTCACCGCAATTGGCCACAACAACTGCAGTTATTGACAGCAGCTAACAGGCCAAAAGTGTTGCGCCGAACCCTGCCACTGCTACACTGCTCTGCTATAGTGCGCTACTGATAATCTAGGCAAAAACCCATACCAAATCCTATATGATTACATTTAGACTTACAAATTGATCTGATCCATTGCTGAAGCTACAGCTGAACGGAATGTTAATGGCAGGTAAGAGATTGCATACGGGGATTTGTTCCTTTCAAGAATTGAAACAATAACCCATGACACATCCTTTGAAACCTCTTCAACTGATGCTCGCATCCAAGAGCAAAGCCTTAGAACATAAATCCTTATAATCTCTGGTTGCAGTGTTCGCAGAGCAGCAACTGGATCAAAAAGAAAGAAAACACTCAGAATATTAACAGATCACAATAACTTTCAGATTCAGTTAATTTGATACCCGCAACCGGAGGAGCTGCTTCCTTCAATTCCAATGCTGCACATGCTTTAGATATATCTTCAATGGCATCACTCATGTAGGACTGGAGGACATTTGATTCCTCTAGATCATGAAAAATGTTAGTGACCTGCACCAATGCCAGATTATCAGGATTTGTATGCAAAACCGTAAACTCATTTCTATTTATCAAATCAACCCTGTTGCAATAAATACTTTTCTAAATAACCGGATTAGGATTTGGCATATAGCAATGCATGCAAAGCCAATAGGAAAAATGAGAAAACCATATTCCTGAATAGTTGACAAATCAACTATTTTGCAACTAACACTTCTCGAAATAACTGAATTAGGATTTGGCATATAGCCATGTAGGCATCCCTATGACCATATGTTTATGAAAATAGGCTTCCAAATATAACAACTAGGAGGAATTAAGCTGCAAAAATTAGCCTGAATAAACTAGTCATCTATGTTAAATTCAGAAGACTAACCAGACTTATAACACGAACAGAATATATTTGTTAGGCTCAGGGCAATCTTTTTTATGTAAATTTGCATTGTTTGTCCCATTTTAATGTAAAATCAAATAAATTGTTTGCTTCAATAGTCAAACTCAAGTTTGAGTAAAAAAAATTTGATAAGTTCAGGTAAAAATATCGATAAGTAAATTCAGGTAAATTAAACTCAAAACTGCGCAAACATTTCTAACCCATAAAGAGTCCAAATCCACTTGATATCCAAAAGGATTAAATATAATCTTTAAAATATAATGTTTTTGTTGTTTTAGTCCCTAACTAAATTTTATTTATAGTCTCTGCAGTTAATAAAAATAGTGTGTATTTTTGAGAAATTAAAATTAGGAATAAATACCAAAATGTCACGTTTTTTGGGAAAAAATATATTTAACCAAAATAAAAAACCAAAAGATAATCCTATATTATAATCAATAAAGAGAAACAGTGATCACTATAAAGAGACTGCAAGGTGGGAAAAACATATTTTCATAGTTGCTAAGAGTCACACATCGGACAATATATGGCATGAACATGTATTTATAAGTGGGGGCAATCCTCATTCTACCAACCGGTTTTGTAGGGTTGAGTTAGGCCCATCCACATTTCTTAATATGGTATCAAGAGCCTCGTTTAAGATCCGGTGGGCCACCTTCTATTAGGTTTTCGCTATCGGGTCACCCACCATTTATTTCCACGCTCCAGATGTCCAGTCCTGAGCGCGAGGGGGTGTGAACCGGTTTAGGGTTGAGTTAGGCCCAACCACATTTCTTAACAATAGCCAAAAGGATTGAATATAATCTCTAAAAATATGATGTTTTTGAAGTTTTAGTCCCTAATTAAATTTTATTTAGTTTTAGTCTCTACATTTAACAAAAAATAATAGTATTTTTAGTCCTTTTCAAAAACTAAAAGTATGTATTTTTGAACTTTTATGACTAAATTTGAAGAAATTAAAATAGGGAATAAATACAAAAAAGTCATATTTTTGGGGACAGAATATATTTAACCAAAAATAAAAAGCCAAAAGATAATGCTACAGTATAAACAATAAAGATTAACAGTGTTCACTATAAAGAGACCATTAAGTGAGGAAAACATTTTTATACCAGAAAAACATATTTTTATAGTGGAAAAAAGGGGCATGTGAACACAATTACCTTGACTCCATACAGTGATATTGTGCTGCATATCATTGCGGAAACTTCATCAAGGGAATGACTTGAGTATTTCCCATCTCCAGCTTTTTCTTCAATTTTATTTGCAGAATTATTGGAATTTGAATCTGTGGGAACTTGAGAAGACTAGACAAGAAAAAGATTCCACAACAATAGAGTGGATGTAATTATGTATGAAAATTCAAGAAAATAAACAATGTTGAAATAAGAAATACAGAATGGTAAAATACAAAAACAACATGCTAAATGTTTTTCCAGAAGAATCCAATAGAGCCAATATTACAGAGAAAGAGAAATTGAAAACTTGAAAACATGCCTTAAATTGCTAATGCATATGTATACACCAAATTAAAAGATTTTCATAATACCTTAGCAAATTTTCCACTGAAAACAGAGAGTGCAATCTTCCAGAAGGCTGGTATATAATGGATGATTACAGCAGTTAATCTCCGGATATACCTTCCCCTTAGACCATCCACCTCTTCACCAGTTAGATCTACTGGATGAGACTGGACCGCAGGATAGGTATTACTGAGAGAGTTGTTGATATCTGACTGACAATAGTATTGAAAAGAATATTAAAAAAAAAAAAAAAGTTAAGGAATTTGTACCCTGAATTAGTCGGTCCCTAAGTCGGATACCGAAATTTCAATAAATAAAAAATTCAACCATTTTACAATATAGCTTAATGACATTTTGCACCTACAGGTTCGTTCAGTTCTTCATGAATCTGCTTCCATCTGGCATCAGAAAGAGCCTTTTCGTGCAACTCGCTACGCAAATTTTCCATTCTGATCTCGTGGTCTAATGTACACTGCTCAAGTAAACCACGTATTCTCTGATTCTGTGAAGAGAAAAACATCCAATGGACTCAGCAATTTGGCCATCCCTTGGAATGCGAAAATGACAAGCTCTAATTTGAAGTTTAAGGGGAAAATAACTAATAGGAAGTTGTACCCAACAAAAATTAAAATTAATGGGAAAGAGGGTACAAATCATGATTCTTAGTTTTTACACAGGTCTATGATTGTTAGGATATAGAATAATGGTTAATTATAGTTAGAGTAGTTAAGAGTTGTTATAGAAGTTAGTTAGTTACAATGTAGAGTTAATATTAAATATTGTAATCATTTGTGAATAGAGTAACAACTCTACTGTGAAAGGGAAACCCTTAGAGGAGAGATTTCTCTCCTATTTTCTGAATAAAAATGTTCTTTCTTTGTAATTCAAATCTTGGGTTCCTAAGAATAATAGTACCAGCGGCAACATCCCAGCAATTGGCATTCTTTTCCTAACTATTTGATACTTTTTGGTATACATCATATGGTCAAACAACTCTAACAGGAAATATGAAAACAAAATTACAAGTACTTAAAAACACAACATGCATAGGATTTTTCAACCTGTATATTCAAATAGTGCCATACAGGATCTGACTCCGGTTCCAAATCCATCAATAACCTCACTGTATTCTCAAGCTGCATGAAGAACAAACGTATATTAGAATCACTTTGCATGCAGAAAAACACTAAGGCTACTCAATCAATCTCTAACTTGATCACCATATCAACAACACATAAAATACTGTTGTAAATAGTCTATTTTTACTGAATTTATTTTTACTGTTACTAGTAGTAATTCTTATTCGGGCCTTTAGCACAATAGTAAAATAGTAGCAACAAAGCAAGATACTACATAGCATGTAAAAGATACTACATAATGAAATACAACCTTGTTTGCATGTAAAAGCTTATTTTCAAGTAATTCCTGGCAAACTGAAGAGATTGACAACTCACATTTGTTATATCTATGTGCGGATCTTCCATAGACTTGAAAAGCATGGACTTGAACTCATTCATTACTTTTTCAACCTCTTCAAGAACACGTTTTAGGATCCCTACCTGAATCTAAAGAAAGACAACAAGAAGAATTAGCTTTAATAAGTAAAAGAATATGATAAAGTAAATCGGTACTATAACAAGATAAAAACCACATATATGATAAACTTGTATCGATGAATCTTGAGAACAAAAATTCAGGGGCGTGTATACTAGAATTTCAAGAAACTCCAAGATAAACTTGTTTTAACAATGATACAATGGAAACCTACAGAAAGGGCGAAATCAATACAATAGTTTCATACATGAGAGGGCAGAGCAATTGACTTGGCCTTCTTGTACTCCCTGACAGCCAAATCATATTCACCCTTGCTAATGCTGCCACGAATAGTACTTGGTAGGTTGAAAAGTGTACGGAACCTCTGTAGCATTCCTTGAACAGTCCTAATTTTTTCTGCTTGAGCCTACAAAACTCATAGAAGTCATGAATAATAATTAACATATTCCAAAATCTAGAATAGCAGTCATAACTCTAGAAGTCACCCACCTGGCGCTCAAATAAAGGCTTCAAAGCACGATTAGCCTGCAAGCTAACCCCTTGAATAATACTATACAAATGGGAAGTCCCAGACCCTTCAGGGTCATCCTCAATTCGTCTTAACTTTGACTCAATATCTGTAAATTAAGAAAGAAGAGCTTCACATTAAAATAAAGGAGGTAATGGCGCTGTTGATATTTTAATTCTTTGCCTACACGCAGGGAAAACTAGAAAGAAAGAGTGAACTTGGGCATGATGCCTAACAGTATTCACCCAAGAATAAAAGACAACTATACGGTTGAACTAGGGTTTGAATGCATGCAAGACTCAAGTCCATACCATCAATTGTGGTTTTGCAGGAGACAAAGCAGTCAAAGTTGTCCTTAACCAACTGCTTTCTCTGCTCAGTACGACTTTTATAGTCAGTCTTCAAAGCCAACGCGCCAGCCTCCAGATCAGCAGCACTTGTATTACAGTGTATCCGTGATAAGAACAATTTTGCATCAAATTTCTCCGAAAAATACAGCAATTTTTCTGTATAGTTGCATCAAAGACATTATCATCTCACCATCAACACTTAAGTAGAAGCACATTCATGCAAACCAGAAAGAAAACCTTAATAATAATAATAATAATAATAATAATAATGATAATAGTGGTAATAATAATAATAATAATAATAATAATAATAATAATAATAATAATAATAATAATAATAATAATAATAATAATAATAATAATAATAATGATAAAGGTGATACTTGTTTTCCAACCGAACTAGGAAATACTAGCGAACAGTAATAATGATGATAAAGGTGATTACTTGTTTTCCAACCAATCTAGGAAATACTAGCGAACAGTTATTTGCTAATTGCTGCATGAACCAAATTTCCCACACGCAGAAACAGAACACTCACTTGAAATAGCCATGAGCTGAACACCAAAAAGAAACCATAAACATAATCTTATCCCATTAAATTGCAATTACGGAAAGGGATTATTTAAATCTATTAATGGCCTTCAGTTTTGTGAGCATATTCTTAATTTACCCCAGATGTTGGTCTTTGCCCATGTTTACTGTAGGCTGATTAATACATTGGGTCCTGAGTCATGGATTCATTAGCCCCCATGTTCTGGCATATACTCTTATTTAAGTGACATAATCAGTAATTAAAAAATCAAAAGGTGATAGCAACCCTAGTCGTCAAATTTTTTAATTCCACTTTCAGCAATAATGCCTGAACCTGAGAACCCTAGGTGTGAAGCCTATGGTGCTTTTCCTCCACCTTCTTCATATTTTGAACTCTAGTTTCAAACAGTTAAACATCCTACTTAAAATACTCGATTTTGTACAGGCTAAGCCAGTAATCAATGAATTATTCCACATTCCAATTCAATTCTAGCATATAACAGCCTGCAGGGACAGTTTACCTAACCTTCCTTATACAAAACCTTCGCTCAATTTGAAAAATACGGAGGTACAAAGAATCTGCATTTATATTAGAAACAGAGCAATACCTCATACGATGTAGTTGATTATAAGAGTGCTTCCTAGGCATTTGTTTTCTATTAATCAAATCTTGTAACAAAATACATAACTGACAAAAACTATATTATTATAGCATTGTAAAATATAACTGCCATAAATAAACCGACTTTAAAATGCGTAAATATGCTAAATAATATCTAACAACAAGAAAAAGTTACCACGTAGGCTGCTATCTAGATCCTTGTCGCTCTTAGGAGAAGTATCTGAAGAAGACTCGGTGATCAACTTCAGTGTTCTGTTGTCTATGATCCTGTCAAAACCAATACCAATAAACAATAAGGACTAATCCCTCAGAAAACTGAAGAAATGTGGAAAAGATGCCAGCTATAAGCCACAAAAAAGAAAGGAACATAACAAACACAATGCAAGATAAGCATTACAATGAACTTTACCCCAAACCCAGTGGATCAACACATTCCATGCCACGGGGAAATGACTGTAAGTAGGTTAGCCCCTTTCTAGCCACTGCAGAATTTTTTCTTTCAAATTTTGGAGCCACAAATTTTTGAGCCACAGGTGCTGTCCTTGTTTCTCTCATTTCACGAACCCTACGAGCAAGCTGTCAAAGAAGCCCAACTACATTAAATTAAATAGAATTTCATAAGTACTTTCATTTAATATGCTTAATATTCTAACTGAAGAGAACCAATATGAATAAAGCACTGAAACTTTCAATCCTTCGAGCAAAAGAGCTATTAATAACAAGTAGTAACAAATAAATATGAAAAAGCAAAAATAGCATTGAGTTGAGATCCCACGTCGACTAGGGATATGGCCAAAGTACTCCTTGCAAGGCTTAGAGCAATCCTCACCTCTCGAGCTAGCTTTTAGGGTTGAATTAGAATTAAACCAAATTTTAAGATTGTATCTAGAAGTGTTTCCAGGCATGTAGTTGTCCACGCTATAAGTCCTAGGTGTTAGGTGATTTTGTTATTTCCACCTGCATTTGTCCTTGCTCCAAATGCCCCCCTCTTGGGCGTGAGGGAGTGAGTTATGATCTCACCTCCAGATATCTATGGTCAAAGTAGTCCTTAAAACTCTTGGACAATCCTCACCTCTAGATCTAGCTTTTGGGGTCGAGATAGGCCTAACCCAAATTTTAAGAGCATGCCTAATGTAGCATATGGAAAGGAAGATGCTCATGATTCATTTCCATCCTAGATTCCAAGAGTGCTCACAGTATATTGAAACAGCAAAAGAACAAGCAATGACAAAAAGAAAAAAGAATGACAAGCAGAAATTACAAGACAAATATAGTGCAGAAAAATGAGATGCCAATAAATCGAATTGCTTCCAACTTAACATGTAAACAGCCCTCCAGAACATATTACCCTAGTTACAATGAGGATGGTGTCGGGATCTAAGATGCTTCTAATTAGTAAGTCCGAGGTCATTGGGATATTAATAGTACTCAGGTTTTTTCTTTAACCTACTGGATTGTTATCAGTACAAACATTAAAACAATGCGTTTTTTATTTTAATGGATGTAAGAAATCAAAATGCAAAATAACACAATACTACAATAATAGTTAAAGAACAAGAAAAAATTGAATTAATAAAGAATTAAAGACTAGTTCCTTGGCTTCACAAATACTATTTGCTTTAGGAAAACAATATTGGGATATGCATGTTGTCAAACATAGAGTAAAATACGGAGAGTGAAACTGTAATACTTCACCATTATAACTGCTCTTCAATGTGATTTTAGAATTTATCACATTATGGTTACTGAATGTCCAATACTAAAGATCAATTAGCATTTCATGCAATTGGAATAATATTCAAAAAAGAAAATTTAGAGAAATATGAAGGTAAATACTTCCAGAACATAGCATTAGATCCTATAGAAATCACAGGGTTTAGGTTCTGAAGGATTTAAAGTAAAGAAAAATACTGATGAATAATATAACAATTAGATTGATTTGGTATGACTAAATGCAAAGCACTAGCACTTATTTATACGATAGTTAGATCAATCATACTGGTGTGTTACTACTGAACTACTAGTAAAGCCCAAGTTTACCATCACAATGAAACCTTTTAAAAAGTGGTGCTATAAAGATATGGCTATGTTCAAGGGTTCATGGCAGGGTTAGACCTGTATACTGGGCAACATTAGACTTATTTCATGATTCAAACATGTAGTCCAAGGTCACACTGTAACAATTTCAACTGCTGCAATAAGTCTTCCCTTCTTAATACAATTAGACTAGTAATCATACTAATCGAATAAGGAAACAAATATAGAAGAAACATAATGGAGTTAGGAAGCATGTCCAAAGGACCAATTGGTTCTACTACAAGATATTTGAAAACATTAAAATATACTCTTTTAACATTTCCTTTCAAGCTAGAGTATCCTAAACTTTAAGATCATTTGTTAAAGAGTAATGCGGGCTTCAAAACTATAGCTGGAAAAACAGCTTGGGAACATGGGAAATATGAATTGAACACTGCTAGAAAGTTAACTCGGTCAGAAAACCAGAATAAGGCACAGCCAAGAAGGAAGTGAAACTACCAAAGAGGCATGGAGAGGAATATGCAAGCAACCATTCATAACAAAACAGCATTTGGAAACTAAAACCACAATAAAAGATATTCTAACAGATTCAGTGAAATGAAAAACCCCAAACTAACTATTATTTACATCAATTAAACATTATATTCATCAGTTATCACAAGAGATAAACAATTAAACGAAGAGAACAAACAGATTAAAGAAGTTAAGATTAAAATGTGTCGTATATGAACATGAACCCTAATCAGTAGCAATAGTGGCATACCTCAGCTTCGTCAACATGCTTCCATCGACTAGGCTCCTCTCCATCCCAGGTCCGATCATCCTCCTTTGCCGGTGCTCTTCCAGTACCCCGATTCTTCGACGTTGTAACCTGATCTTTGACGTTATCCTCATCACCGCTGGATATGCTAAGCATCTCCACTTCGGAATCATCGTCGTCGTCAACCACTCTCCCTTTTGATTGCGGATGTTTTGCGGTGGCGGGAGGCCCTGACCTCTTAGGTTGAGAGGACGGAGGTTGAACGTAGTTGGCGACGGGTTTACGAGGATTGGAAGAGGATTTGCCATAGTTGAGATCTCGCTGAGATTGCTCCTTTAACGCCATCTGGAGAAGCTCGTCCTCGTCACTGTCGCTCGCCATTTCTTCGACTCTTCTCTGCTTCGCCGGTGAATGTGAACGGAATGGAAGAGAGAAGAGACGCGGTGGTTTTGTGGATTTTAGATCTGAGTCAGTGTGTCTGATTTTTTCTTTTTCTTCCAAAGAGGAAGAAAGAAAGAATGTTCAAAGGAGAATCTTCTAATTTCAATGTTTTTTTTGGTCAGTTTATTTGTTCTCTTTCTTTTTGCTCTCTTTCTTATTGTTCTCCTTCTTTTTAATTTTTTTTGGTACAATTTCTTTTCTTTTTTTTAATTCTTCATTCTTTTCAATTTATCTATTATTTATTATTATTATTAAACTTTGTAGCTACATTATTTTTTTCTGCATACCATTACCACCACAAAAGTATATTTCAAACCAAAATTCTTTAAAGAAAAACTCTACGGTAGACGTATGAAATTTTTGGCAAAATTTATAAGAAATCCTTGTGAACTATATTCTACTATGTAAAATTTTATGCTTGTAAGTTTATGTAAGTGAGTTTATAGTTTATCTACGCATTAGTTTTCTTTTTTAAAAATGTGAGTTACTAAAAAAAAATGAATGAATATGACATTATGCAGCATACTTTTCGACCTGTTTCGAAGGATCTAAAGAATCATGAATGACTTGTTGAACGCAAGAACAATCAATTTCAAATCTAATTCCAATCAATAATAAGTTTAGTTTTTATCTTTAGCAATCTCAATAGCCAACATAACCGTTGTTAGCTCTGCCATAAAAGCATTTCTTGTCTCAATATTCATTAAGAAGGTGTCAAAATGTTTTTCATCTAAAATCTGATTGGTGTGGGTAAAAGTGTAAGCTTTACCTTTAGGCTCATAATGGGTATGGACTAAGTTTATATATATTATATGGATAGGTCTTCTTTGTAATCACAATAAGAATCAGAAACATAACTGGCGGCTCCACAACTTGTCTCGTTGAGAATCATCTAAAATCTGATTGGTGTGGGTAAAAGTGTGAGATACAGAGGAAGAACCGGTCATTCATCTTTTCGAGATTCTGAATCATGACTTCAATAAGTAAGTAATGATGTGATTCTGAATTATGACTTCAACAAGTAAGTATTGATATTCTAATTTCATATAATCGATAGATAAATTTTTTCACTTACATTTGGTATCAGGGCTTAATTATATGAATTAGGACTCAATTATTTATTGTTAATACGTGATTATAAATTGAGGGTTTTGATTCAATTTTGAACCAAGGCACAATTAATTTTCAAGCCTATATATACTGAATTGTAAGTAGAGGTGGCAATTGGATCCATTAAGGCAAAATTCATCCAATCCATCCATCAAAAAATTCATTTAATCCATCCATCACATAAAAAATAAGTTAATGGATTGGATTAAATACATCAATTTATATGCATGGATGAATTCGATTCATCCAACATATTTTAAGGATCCAATAGATAGATAATTTTTGTTAGATTTATTTTTTTTAAATAATTAAAAATAGGTTTTTGAAAAGAAAAGAATTGATTTTTTTTCTAATAAAAAAATCAGAATTTTTCGAAAAAATCGATTTTTTTTCGAAAAAAAACTATTATTTTCAGAAAATATATTTGGTTTTTTTTCCAAAAAAAAATTGTTTTTTTTTTCAAAATAAAATACTGATTTGTTTTTCGGAAAAAAAATCGATTTTTTTTCTGAAAAAAACGATTTTTTTCCGAAACAAAAAATTAATTTTTTTTATTAAAAAAATCGATATTTTTCAAAAATTAAAATATTAATTTTTTTTCTTGAAAATACAAAAAATTCAATTTTTTCATGAATATATTAAAAAACAATTTTTTTAAAATACAAAATAAAATGAATTTTTTGAAAATAAAATAAAATTGATTTTTAAAAATAAAAATACATTTATTTTTTTGAAATAAAAAAAAATTGGATGAATGGATATCCATCAATTAAAAATATGTTAACGAATGGATTGGATGGATTTTATTTTTAATGCATGAATTGGATTGCATAATTTTGAAAAAAATTTAGTGAATTGTTAATTGACTAATTGATTGTTTTAATCCATCCATTAACAATTTAATTCATATTCATCCAATCTATCTATTTTGCCACCCTTAAATATTATCGGCAGCGACTTGCCTAACTTGTTGTTATTTTGTTATTATATCTAATGGCCATAATATCTTATTCTGGTAATTAATTAAACTTTGAAGCAACTCAGGATATCTAGTTCATTAGAAACAACACAACCGTAGATATTTGAATTATGTATATTCCCTCAATTAGGTTTAATGAGTTTGTTTACACTAAATCTAACAACTTAAATATAAATAGAACTAATAAAATTTAATTAATTTATGGTTGTGGGTTAAAATTGATACGTGCATAGAATATTTCTTTACAAATATAAGCTTCCTTCTTATTGTGAGAATTAAAAGTTGCGTCAATTCCACTCGTAAAAACAATACCGTCCCATTAAGAAAAATAGGAGAGAAGATTTTTTTTTTCCTAATAAACCAATCTTATCTCCATGGAATATGAAAACTCTTTTATGAAAGGGATGAATTCCAGCTTGTATTCCATTTTTAAATACATTTCTAGCAAGCATTGGAAACCCACGAGTAACCATATATTAAACTATATATTAAATTATATATCAAATAAATTGAACTTATATATAAAATTATGTATTAAACTATTATTTTTTATTGTGTTGTCTTGTGCATTTTATTAAATAAATATTAATTTATATAAATTTATAAAATATTATGTAGTATCTTTATAATATTGAGATTGATACTTTTGAAGACAAAATTGATTGAGAATACTATATTATTTAAATCCATAATTGATTTATGATATTTTTTTTGGACAAGAAAAATTTAATTCTTATGCAAGAAATTTTGTAAATTATTATGTGTGATTAGAACCAAAGTGAGATCACTCGTTTTAATTTATAAAAGTCTCTTTATGTTTGAGGAATGATTTTAAGTCATTACTATGATTGTCTTCCCAAAGGTGAACAATTATACATAAAGATTGTGGTTGATTAAAAATATAGTTATTGGAGATGCTTAAGTCTAAGAGATTTATTTACCCAAATGAGATAAATTTCTAAACTCAATGTATGCTTACTATGCTTACTGAGTAGCTTATTCTTGAAATTCGTAGATGAAGTTATTAGAGATATTTTGGTTTATAGAATTTATGGAGATAGATTTTTGAGCCCAATGTATGCTCATTGAATAAAGTTTTTCTTTTCTAATTTTTAACTAATTATTTTAAATAAAACCTAATATAACATAATATCCTTTCATTACTTACTAAAGTTTTTCTTTTCATATGTATTTAATGACAGTGGATGCCAATGACTTTCAGACCCACCCCTCAGATGAATCTTAATTCAATATGTGTTTACCTTTCCGCATACATCTTTATGCGTGATGATGAGCAAATATATGAGTATGTCTTTTTAATGCAAATGCTAAAACACAATTGTAAACTCATTTACACATTTAATTTGACAGTGCATACATCTATTCTTTGTAGTAATGAGGTTCTAGACAAAACTACATCAAATGTATTTGGGGACAGGACAACACTGAAGTCTCTGATGCCTTATTGTCCTGTTGACCAAGAGGTTATATTTATATGATTTGAATTAAAAAAAATTCCTATTAATGTAAAATTTTGAACTAATGTCATTTTCATTTGATAATACAAACTCTTAATCTAGTTGTTGCCCGACAAAATTGGTGTTTAAGCACCATATGAAATACAAAGTCTGTTGGCTATATGTCTACGGAGTTTGTGGTGATTACCACTATTAATCCAAATCTTACATTCACATTCATTAAGTATTATTTATTGACTTAAACTACATTTTTTAAGCAATATGTGCCTAGACGAACAACATTCAACTGACTTTGTGAGGGAAATTTATCATGCCAACTTCATGACAACAAAATCGTTTGTTTCCAAGGTGATTTTCTGTTACTTTAAGAAAATATTTGTTACATTCAAAATTGGAAATTTTGTTCATACCAATTAATATTTGTTTTTTTTAATAGATTTTTATTCCTATGAATGGTCAAGGAAATCACTGGTATCTGCTTGTTGTTGATTTTATTCAAACAAAATTAATTTGGTTGGACCCTTTGTATGATGTCGATATACATCATATGAGACGCCATCAGATTTTAAAAATGGTATGCATGTTATCTATAATTTTTTTTACTTTCTGAACTATTGTTTGGCTCTATATTTTATTCAAATTTGGTATTTACTCTTGTGGCAGACATTATTTTTTGAAGAAACTCTGCTTCACGATTCTTTTTGTGAACTCTGTCCACGTTGCCTTGACAATTTAGTCACAAACTTCTGCATTATTCAACCAAGGTGTCTCCCAAAGCAACGAAATGGATCGTAAGTATTCCCAACCCTTACTCTATTTTTTTATTGAAATTACCTATTAATGTGACACTAATGCATTTAACTGACTGAAAACAAAAATGACTGTGGAGTGTGGGTGGCTAAATGGATGATTGAATGTCTATTTAGGACTGGCTACGAAGCCATAAGTGTAAGTTAAATTAATGTGATCACTATTTCTTAAACATTTCCCCTCTAATTATATTTCCATTTTTTCCTAAATGTTTATAATTATATGCGGGTTGTGATTCCTACAAGGATGCAACTTGCACTTTATATGGTTCAATCATCTAATAATGTTTTGTTGAATAAAGTTGTGTCAAAGGTTGCAAATTATTGGGATGTTCAGGAGAAGAAGAGGAAGGTGTTGGTGAAAGTATGAAGTTTTTATGAATCATTTGGGATAATGTTGCATAATCTTGGTTTTGTTCTTAGTTCTTAGATAATTTGATTGTATTTTGGATGATCTGTTTGTTAGAACTCAATTTTAAGTTTGGATATGCTTGACATTAATTTAGCATTAACTTAGATAATTTTGGATAATCTGTTTGTTAGAACTCAGTTTGAGTAAGGATA